CAGCTGGCTCATTTACGAGATACATCTGAACGATGCCGGTCGCCATCGCCAGTGGGCATTGATTCTGGGCTCGGTCCGTCCCGCCTCTGCTCCCTGCTGTCATGCATATATACGTGTGTTTGTGCATGCTTACCTCCGTTTCTTCGGACATTACAGATCAATTTTGTTGTGACCTGTGGGTGCCGACTTGCCCTTGTTTGGGGCCAGAGCTCAAGGCCAGGCTATTGGGCATGGTTTCATAGAATCTTACATCTACGTAATAATTCACTGGGAGGCGTCCCTCCATGGCGGTGTCGGCGGCTTTTCGCATGGAGCAGCAGCTGCTACTCGAGGAGCAGATTCTACATGGAGTGTGTATGTCGTTTGTATGTATAATAATTCATGATGGATGGCAGGACTTCATGAACACATGGATTACTCAAGATCCGAACTATCTTCTGAATGTGAGGAAGAAAAAGGACAGGCTTTCAATGCTTGTTTTCAGCTTCTGTGTGCTTGTACTTTTAAATTCATCGATGGACATGTAGGATCGCAACCTTTTGAACATCCCGAGCTCCGGTGTCTCTTCGGCGGAAATGGCCGGGTGATTGATTTCCTGCTAGCTGCATGCATGCATGCAGTATCGAACTTCCGATTCCATTGAACAACCCCTGCAGTTGGAAGTCAACTTTACCTTCATGTGCAACTACCTGGCTACCGTGGACTGCCACCTCCCGCTCTTCTCCACTCACAAGGACCAGTGAGCTCAGTGCATGTAACGACATTGTGTTGGTGAGCCCTCACCCCTCGCCTGTAGGCCGTGCTTGTAACGATGGCGAAACGGTATTGCATACTGCCGCAAAACAGCCGTCGCAAGCTTATCCGCGCCTTTTGTCGGCAGATGATGTATTGTCGTCGGGTTTTGCTTTTGTGCAGATTCTTGGAAAATCTTGCCGGCTATGTGTTGAGGCTTGGGCTGCGGCGGAAGCCGCAGCCATTCGGGGCATGGCCGTGCATGCTTTGCTGTTGGCTCGGCGGTCTGCTGGGTCAAAGTGTCTTGCCTGGAGTTATGTTCCACACCCGCACAAATGCATACACACATACATGTACACTTTCACATGTACACAATGTGCCAACACACTATATACATAAAGAAAAGTCGCTACCATCATCAGATCAGGGGTTCGAGGTCGATGGCATTCGCCTACTTATGAAACTAGCTGCCTTATAACCCCCCCCCACCCCAAAACCGATCGTAAAGCAGTCATATACATTACTATAGTAGTGTCCGGGTGCAGAGTGGGGTTAAATCCGAGGTCGGGCAAGATCCGAATTCTCAAGGAGCTCATCGTCACGTCGCTGGGAAGCGGTGCCTAGACTTAATATTATGTATATATATATATATATATTATAGATATATATTCGAAGCTTAATATATATATATATATATATATATATGTATATATATATATATGCCCAAACCTAGGTGGTAGTGATCCGGATGATGCCATCCTCGCCGAGATTCAGGCTTCGGCCCTCGATCGAACGAGTTTGCAGGACTGCTAACATATGATGTACCGTTAAGTCAGTGCTGCAGCTGCACTGACAGCGACATTTTTTTTGATTCCGCTTCAGGATTCGAGCTCGGCAGAATCCGCGGCTTCTACGCCACCCTCGGATGGCGAGAAAATCCTGGAGCACTTGGAGCTGGTCAGCTGGCGAAATTATCTGTTTTATCTCGATATGCCCTCCCGTACAGCTAGAGCATTGCAGCTTCAAGTCATCTTCCGAGCCGCAGCTGTAACTAACTTAACTATATATAGTTCGAAACCTGATCAAGCCCCAGCTGTAACTAACCAATTAACTATAGTTCGAAACCTGAAGCCCCAAACTCAAAACCCCATGGCTCTAAGGCTTAACTAGACACCAAAAAACAATAATTCATGGGTCGCCCTCGGTAAGGACCTGAGCCCCCGCAGCACTGCAGTACTTTAACATCGGTTTATGGACACGGGTCTTCTGATTTAGAGATTTGGGGTGTGGCTACTGCTAGGGATCAGGGTTCGAATTTGGGCTTTGCTTTTTTTGGGTGCTATTTTTTGTAGAGGCGAAATATTCAGGTTTGGCTTTTCACTGCGGCCAGAGCATGATTTAGTTAGGCCTATGGTAGGCCCAGGGCATATACCTGGGACGACAAGGGCCTTAGCCTAGGACCTCCGTATATATCGATCTACTAGATAAAACCTGCCCTTTCAGATCACCGTGCAAGGAGGCCGATCCGGGCCAGTCGACGGTGGCCTCCGCAGAGGAAGCTTGCCACGCATGTATATACATATATTGCATGTCATACAGCGAATTTGGAATCATGCGACTGTCGTGGTAGCCTGGACCTAGGCTTCTTCTAGTATTGCATGTTCAGCTATTAGTATCCCAGGCCTCGGGACCGATCGTCAGCGAGACGGCGATCCCAGAGCCTGCTCCGGAGAAGGACTGCACTGCAGTTTCAATCAGATCGCCTAAAACCCCAAGGATCCGAAACATCAGCAACAACCCACAAACTTCACTCGACCTAGATCCTAGATCTCCCCAGGAGCCCCGGGCGCCGGTGCAGAAAGTGCCGGCGGATCTGAGTTCGGCCAAGGCAGTGCTGAATGAGCACACGCAGGACTTGGAGGATGCTCGAAAGGCGAATGCGGTCGCAAAGCAGCTCGAGGCAGCAACACAGTAGGTCAAGTACTAGTGTGATGTTGCTAATCGAAATCGAATGTTTATCGTTCGTTGGCTTGCTAGGTGCAGAAGGCCGCAAGGGTTGCCGCAGCCGAGAAGACGGTTGAAGCCGCAGCAAAGAGGGAGAGCAAGCAAGTGCAGAAAGGGCAGCTGAAGGAGACGAAGGCATCGGGAAAGGGTCGCGGACGCGGCCGGGGCCGTGGCCGAAAGGCAGAGCAAGGAAAGGAGAATGAAAAGGATGATGGAAACAAGGAGGAGGATGCATTGGAGATGGAGGTGCCAAAGCCTGCCCCGAAGAAAGCCCCCAAGGCGAAAGCCAAGCCCCAGGCCCGCCCTTTATAAATTCCACATTTCATGCGACTTACCTCTAACCCTCCCGCAGGTCGAGGAAGCCTCGTGCGACAATGCTATCAAGTTCGACTGGGAGACCAAGGCACGACCCGTGTCTCCACTAGAGAATTCAGGTTTGATGATTTTATCCGGGCCCACATTCTGAGTCGAGGCACACATAATGTATTAAGCTAATCGGGGGTATATGCCGGGGGCTGCCTAAGCAAAGAATCGCTTAACATAACTTCGCCAAAGCCACTAAGCCAGAAGAAGTCTAACAAACCCGAAAGCCTTGAAAAGCTTACAACCCCAAACACTGCTGCCTATAACCTTGCAAACGTATACACAATACATGTGCAATTGACTTGCGATTTAACCTCAAATTCCCAAATCCCGAATTCATTGAGCCGCCAAATCCTTAATAAATTCCCGTGCAGCTTCACAGCCTGAAACCCTAGACCCAAACACCTAAATAAGATCCCGTATACCCTAGCACTCTGAAGCCAGAAATCCTGCATGCCCAAAGCTCCTATACCGCAGAACTCCGAAGCTTGCAATCCTTTTAAATGCCCAAATACCAGAAACCGGGGGCCCCTGACCCTAGAACTTAGAATCCTTCAAACCTATATTGTCTTGAGGTCAGAGAGCTGAAGCATGGTAACGTGCCGGTGCCCAAAGATTTCCGCGGCCAAGCCAAATCGTACACCCTGTCGCCGACTACTTACTGCATCGAGAGGGCCGATACTGCTTCCTCGATTTCCGTGCTGAGTCTTGTCTTAAGTAAATCATGCTTGTGTAATAATATATATGCACTGTAGCATCTGCAACGAACCAAGGTGGACCCTGAACTCACTGTATGTGAATACCGTGGTGAACAACAACCTCGGCGTGAAGGTCAATGCCAAAGGCGGTGCCACCTTGTCACGGGGCAAGTTCGAGGGTGACTGGTTCAACACGATGAAGGTTGCAAAATATCTTGCTGGATGGACGGAGGCTTTGCCTGCATTTCAACGTGCTAAAGTAGCATCTCATGTAGCACTGCCGTACACGTGTAATTAAATAATCTAAACTCTGAGGACCTCCTTCAAGATGGCTGATTTGGCTGCATGGGCCATGACGAGGTTGCCCTCGTTGCACTAATATGGGCAATTGTATATATAATATATATATATATATATATATATATATATATATACCAGAAAATACTCTAAGGCCTGGGTATTAATTGGACGCCAGCACTTACAGCTGCTGAGCTGCATCCTAGACATGGCCACAACAACGATCGGCAAGATTGTTGGGTTCTAAATTCGCTTTAACGAAGGCTCATTCGATATGCTCGGAATGAAGCTTCCGGGTGCCTGCTACTCGGTTGCAGTTTAGACGACATGAGTGAGCTTGTGAGTGAGACGTGTATATGTGTGACGA